GGATGAAAGGTGCAAATTCTCTCAGTTCTGCATTTTTTTCTGGTTGAAACACTTTAGACTGAACTAAAGCTGCGTGTGTTTCAGTTTGGATGTGTGGGTCATGAATGCCCTTTGAGAAACTGGGATTTTACTTGTGCGTTATTTAATTTTCTCTGTCGCTTTCTCTTTGTCGATACACGTTTTAACTACATAATTATCTTAGTCTAGTTTTCAGAGAGAATAATAATCATTCCTGGAATGATGATCAACCTAAAGATAAATGGAAAGACAGAATTTACAACTGTGTAACAAATATTACAGATATTATTTATGTGCGCTGTGTGGAGAATTAGGCCGAGGACTCGTCCATGGGGAACGCCTTTGTAAACTGACAGAAACAAATCAAAGTAACTCCTGTAATAAAACTCTGTTGTCTATCAGAAAGTTCGTTTCTGAAACACCGACGGTTACATTTATCCAAACCTAAATATGTATTATAAATAAAGAAGGATCAAATGTGCTTAGGTCACTTGAGGTTAACTTTTTTTCATCCTACACATTTTCACTCTTCAGTCTGTAAGTTAATCAAAAGTAAGATTGCAAACACTACAAATTTATGCTGTAGATCTGGAGTAACTTTGTTCATGTTTTTTGTTATAGATATGTATGACCAGGTGCTGAAGTTTGGAGCCTACATTGTGGACGCTCTGCACACTTTTCACCAGCCGGTGTTGGTGTACATCCCACCCCATGCAGAGTTGAGAGGAGGATCCTGGGTGGTAATAGATCCCACCATCAACCTGCTGTGTATGGAGCTCTATGCTGATAGGGAGAGCAGGTATGTTTTCTAAACGGTTCTCGACAGAGATCTGTGATTCTAAGCGTGTGTTCTTCATATTTGTGGTTACGTTTCTTTGATTCAGAGGTGGCGTGCTGGAGCCTGAGGGCACAGTGGAGATTAAATTCAGGAGAAAGGACCTACTGAAAACAATGAGGAGACTCGATTCAGTCTACGCCAGTCTGGTTGAGAAGCTCTGTAAAGCTTTTTTTTTTTTCTGTTTCTAATTCCAAAAACGTTCTCAAGTTCGCATTTTACGTTAGAAGTACAAAGACGTTCGAGGTGTAAGACCTTCTTTTGTTATTCCAGCTTCTCCAGAACTGTCTGACAAGGAGATCAAGGAACTGGAGAAGAAGCTCAAAGCAAGGGAGGAATTCCTGCTGCCCATCTACCACCAGGTGGCAGTGCAGTTTGTCGATCTGCACGACACTCCGGGCAGAATGCAGGAGAAAGGGGTGATCACTGTGAGTTATGATATGACTGAAAAGTATAAAAGACGTACATTTCAAGGCGAGTAAGCTTTTTGAAACTTATTTGACCGTTTCTACTTTTAACAGGATATTTTAGACTGGAAACAGGCGCGGACCTTCTTCTACTGGCGTCTGCGGCGGCTCCTGCTGGAGCAGGTGGTCAAGTGTGAGATCATGGAGGCCAACAAGGACCTCAGTGACGGACACATGCAGTCGATGCTGCGGAGATGGTTCGTTGAAACGGAGGGAACAGTCAAGGTGCGTGAGTGCGTTCAGAGCTTCAGCACTTTGGCAGCTCGAACAGAAAAAAACGTAATCTATGGAAAAAAAAAAAACATTGTTCACATTCTGAATCTTTTTGTACAGCATTTTTTTTTTTAATTGAGATAATTTACTTGCTCTACTTTAATTAAATTGACAAATTTCTAAATGGTTGTAGTGTTGAAATACATTTAGGCATGTGGTAATAAAATGTAACTGCCTGTTGAAGCTGAACTGAAGTCATGTGGTGTGTGTCTGCTTCCTCAGGCTTACCTTTGGGATAACAACCAGGCAGTGGTGGAGTGGCTTGAGAAGCACTTGTCCACAGAGGACGGCACCCGCTCAGTCATTCGAGAAAATATCAAGTACTTGAAAAGAGAAAATGCTTTAAAGCACATCCGTGGGTACGTATGACCCCTTTTCTTGTGACCACGCCTTCCTGTTTCCTTTAGTTCTTGTGCTCTTTTTATTTGGAAACATGTCATTTTTAAAAAACGTTTACCACTGTAATACATTTAGAGTTTGGAGGCATTTCAGTCCTGTTCCAGAGCGTAACCTCTGGGGGAAGATTGTGTGGTTATGAGTGCAACATGGCAGGTCACACCCGACACTGCATCTCCTGTTCATCTTTCATCTGCTGTCAATGCAGCGAATGTGGAAGTCTCCATCCAGGACATACACTCACCTCTTGTTACAGTTGTATTTTTGCATTGTCATCAAAATACCCTTATCGCCGTGACAGAGTGGTCGATTATTTATTTATTCTTTTTCTGGAAATCACCAAAATTCTTCCCTCTCTCCCACACACCTGAAAACACTCCAGGAGTAGCTACTCCAAAGAATCGACCTTTGAATTCACGTAGTAAAGGTTCGGAGCGATTTAGTTCTGGAGGATAAAGAGTCAGGTTATCATAGAGGACACCATATTTAGCTTTCTTTATTTTCAACTGTAGATATGAGTGTGTTTGCCTTGCATCACATTTAGTTTTAATACAGTTATTTCCCTTTGTTTGTATAAGCAAAACTCATAACAGAAGTTCTAAAATAACCACAGTGTATTTTAATGTAGACTTCACTGAATCCTTCATTCTGTTGTCTTTCCTTTCACTGCTCTCATTGTGTTTTTGTGTGCAGCTTGGTGCAGGCCAACCCTGACATAGCGATGGACTGCATCATCCACATGAGCCAGAACATTTCTCCCTCCCAGAGGGCCTCGTTGTCGCATCTGCTTGCGACGATGGACACCACCAGCACCAGTCCCAGTTAAGCTCTTGGACTTTATCAGGTCGTGCCGTTAAAGACAAAAAAACCAACAAAAAAACATGTTTTTTTTTGTAATAAGTTGTACTGTTGAAAGTTGTCAACGCTTTCGTGTCGAAAGGTTCAGGACGTAAAGCTAATCGAACATTGTTGGGGATTTCAGCACTGAAGTACTTGTATTGCTTTTGCACCAAAAAAAAAAAAAAAAAAAGACAAACGCACAAGAACAGTGTTAGAAAGTCTGTGCTGCTGAGCCACCTTTTAATGTTCGCCACGATCCACAAGTGTGTTGGTGCCTTTTTATGTTTAAACGAATAGTTCAGACGTTTTACCGTTTCAGTCCAGGAAGCCTTCTTCTCCATTCGACAGCCTGACACTGTAATGCACACCTCACTTTGCTGTATTTAGCACATTATGACTTGAAGTCAATGTCGTTTTGCCTTTTTGGATTGCCTGAAGTATACTGGGGCTTTATAAAAAAAACAAATAACTTTAGTTTTGGCCTCAAGTTATTGTTTCTAGTTAAACCTATAATATAACATGAGAGTTTGTCTTTAAATGTTTATAGATGCCATATAAGGTCACATGCCACTCTTTGGACTGTTTTAATAAAACTTTTGGAAAAAGTTTGTCAGGAATATATTTCAAAATAAATCAGTTCTTTTCTCTTGTTTGGATGAAATATAAATGTATAGAAATTATAAAAATGTAAATATTGATTATTGTTTTCAGAACATTGTATATCGTACCGTTTCTATTGATTCCGGTTCTCGTATCATTTGGAGTGGTTAACTCAGTTGAATTTGACAAAATAAAAAAGGCTTCACAACAACATAAGTGTGCGTTTTCTCTGGCCGACTGATTTCATCACAGCGGCGACGTTGCCACACCGTCCGGCCGTAGACTAGACATAGAGTTGAGCAAATTATATCACGTCAAGGGATTTTATGCCACCTGTAAAACATCCTCAGGATGAATAGAAACTCTTTCATGGTTGGTGCAAATTTCCTATGACAGATGGTTCTTCTAAGTACCAGATTTATTGGACAAGTACAAAATGCTGAAGGAGCTAAATAACGAGCATCTGTCGAGACCAGCATTTTAACATTGGTTTGTGTTTTTGTTCTCTGTTTTAGATATCTGCTCAGGTGTATTTCAGTAAAGTAGTTGAACCACTTTTTTCCTTCACTAATTTCATTCAAAAAGTGCAACGTATATTATGTTGAGTATTTGCATTTTGATGATTCGTGTTCAGCTATTTAAAAATTGAAATTCTGAAAGGAAATGGACTAATTGCATGAAATGGCATGTGGGGCGTCCTGTGCTGCACACAGTTATGAGGAAGAATGCTGACTTTGCAGTAATTCATCCAAAAGGAGCCAAAACCAAGTATTGAGTGCACATACTGTAGAGTAGAGGGACATAGATTTTAACAGACAGACATTTCTGTCTGATTTAAATTGTTGTGTAGGACTACTTTATGATAATTTCATGAGGAACTGAACTTTTAATTGAAATTCCGATAATCAAAATGAGCAGAAATAAATGTTTAAAATGTCACTGTATGTAAAAAAAAAAAAAAAAAGTTAGTTTAGTTGTTTAAACTGAATAACAGAAACAAAAAAAAACATTTCAATAATACCCGAATTCATTAAGATGCACCATTATGTGTCAAAATTGTGTCATTGTGACATTCGGGACGCTCCTGAACGTTCGTTTTGTTTTTGGTGTGGCAGTAAACATTAATGTTTACATTAAGCAGTAAACATTAATGTTTACATTAAGCAGTAAACATTAATGTTTACATTAAGCAGTAAACATTAATGTTTACATTAAGCAGTAAACATAAATTGCCAGATTAGATCCTCAACTGCATAAGCTTGACTTCCTGTTACTCTAATCAAAAATCAGCCCTCACATTACTTTTCGAAGTTTTTGAGCTCTTCCTGCTTGTTGCATTTTACCTGGGGATGTTTTTCAGTCCAATATCACGAATGTGTTTAAGTACAAATTTGCTTATTTTTGTCCATTTTTTTTTATTGTGATCAAGTCAAACAGCAAAGCAGACATCTTTCCTCCAGCCTTGTTAATAGTGACGTGTGGAGGAGCGGTGACTAAAAGCCGGCTTTTTGTTTCGGAATGATGTGGCTAACACCAAACGATTAAATATGTACAGCAAAAGACCGATAGGCTTCATCTTCTCCAGCTGTCTTTTATAAATATAAATAAAACATCACAGCAATAAAGTCTAGCACAATACAACAGACAAGCGTTTTTGATCTACATCACAGACAGGAGAACGATAGAGGAACAGGTAAAAGCTCATTTACTTGCGGCTCTCCACTCAGTCTTTATTCATTATTTGCTTGGCAAAACTAAAGATTTTAGGTCTGACATATTTCATCTTCAGGTCACCGTTTATATGTGGTTTTAGTTCCTAAAAAGCTGTTCTCTTGTTGGATAAAATGTTTCTCTCCAGGTTCCCAGAACGTTCATTTCTTCAAAAAGAAATCAAACTTCTTCAGTTGGCGTCCGAAAGAAAGGCGGGGAATAAAAACAAAACAAAAAAAAATACCAAACCAGACGAAATCATTTAAAATCATTTAGGTTTGGCTTCTTTAAAGCAGGGCGATGGGTTTGCTGGCGGGTTGGTTGGCCATGTACTGGGAGGTCAGGGGATCCTGCGAGGTGTAGGAGGCGTATAGCCCCGTTACTTGGACGTCTGACAGCGGCACGCTGCCTCCGCTGGAGGCCGGAGGGAGGCTCACCGAGCCCAAGTCACAGTCTGATAGTCGCAGAGGGGAGTTACTGAAGGTGCCCAAGGCGTCCAGGTTAAAGCTGTCGTCTTTCATTTCTTCCCACAGGTTACCTGAAGAACAGGGACGTGTCAGTGGAGTTAATCAACAACCCTTATTTGTTTGCTGATAAATTAAAACAAACTTTATTGGTAGATGACTGGAACACAATGTTTGGCGAAGTTAGACAAATTACTACAATGTTAAATTTAAACAAGTCTGAAAATTGTTTTTTAAAAAATGAAGAAGAAATAAATGTTAAACTGACATAGTCTCTGTTTAGTCCATGATAAGTGGACATCCTTTGTAAGGATGTCTTGATTTTGGCAATATAAACAATCTCAGTTTTAAAAGGTATTTTAATATTTTAACCAGGCAGCACTTGTGCGAATACATGAATGTGTAAAACAAAACCGTTTTCAAACTGTCAAAGGCCAAAAGTGTCACTATCTCCACAAATAATCTCTTAAATAAATTTCTAATGACTGTATGATTGTAATAATCAACATTGAATGTATTGCCCATCATTGTACCTATGATTATTTTAATGTTTGCTTTAAATATTTCAAGGAACGATTCGTTTAATAACAGTATCTGTTAATGCAATGATTCTGAAAATCCCATATAATTCATTTTACATTCACCAAATACAAATTTCAATCATTTCTTTCATATAAATATTTAAATTATGTTTTTAATTACTTTAAATCTCAAAATGATATTTATTGTATTTCCAGTTTTGATTAAATAATCAGAAATAAATCAGCTTAATGATACTTTAAAGCGATGATCTGTGTTACGATATCAAGCCAGAAGTGGTTTTTTGTTGGGAAACGGTGCCGCTTTTCCCGGCAGCAGGTCTGTTTACCTTGAAAAGCAAAGTCCATGATGCTCGGGTCCAGTGCGTCCACCTCTGTGTTCGTGTCGCTCTGCACGCTGTAAAAATCATCAGGAGGCTTGCTGGGCTGCTGGGTGAGCGGACTGTGGGAGAGGTCAGGGACCGTGTGCAGGGGGGGGGTCTGGGCCGGGGCCGGGGACATGGGGCCCAGGCGAGCCTGAGCATGGAGCTGAGCTTGAAGCTGGTGGTGCTGGTGCATGGGCAAACACGGCAGAGACAGGGTGACTATGGGCTGAGGCTGCATCTGGGCCGGCACCGGCAGCGGGAGACCGGTCGTACAGCCGGCCAGCCGGGTCATTCCGGGCTCTGGAGGCTTCCGTCTGCAGTTTTCTGGGCGGTCGGTGATCAGCTTGTCCAGTTCGTCTGTAGGAAAGCAGAGTCGACTGTCAGACTAAGTCAAAAGCGTCATATTTGAACTTCAAAATTTCCCCAAATACTTTTCTGACCTGGGTTAGCCATGCTGCGGCGAATAGCTGGGAGATCCTTACGTTTCCACTTCTGCATCTCTTCCTCCATCTTGTCAATTTTGGCAGGGTTCAGTGCCCACAGGCAGCCCTTGCGGGAAGAGCTGCCCGTTTTGTTCTCCACCTTCTCAAAGCATTTATTCAAGGACAGGTTGTGTCGGACTGAATTCTTCCATCCGTCAGGTGCAGTCTGTTAAAAGCCAACACGTCGCACAGTCAGCCACACTCATCACCTGAGCATCACAGTTCCTTATTTTCACTCTGTGTTCATCTGAAAATCAAACCTTGAAATATGGAAAGTGTTCCTTCATAAAGCTATAGATCTCACTGACTGGAAGGCTCCCGGTTTTACTGTTCTTTAAAGCCATGGCGATCAGACAGCTGGAAGAAAATAACACGAGTTGAATTTTGTTCAAAGCAGATCAGACGAATGAAAAGGCTATTTTTGTGTGTTTCCACCTGTAGGAGTAAATTGGCTTGGGGAAAGACTTGGGCTGAAGCTCCTGTTCTTGTGGGGCCAGACGAGGTTGGGTGAACAGACTTTGGTTGTTGAAAGAAACATTGCTATAAAGTCCACCAGCTGAGCACTAAAACAGAGGAAAGAATTGAGAAGCTGTCATTTTGTCACGTGACGGGGGAATAGTTATTGAAAACATTAATATTTGTCTCTGTGGATATCGTTCTAATTGGGCTGGAGCTTGGTAGCAACTTAAGTATTCCATACATTTAAAAAATCAAAACAATTTAGTTCCTAAAAGCATGTAAACAGAGGGACAGAATAGATATCATTTTACACATAAAGAAGCACATAACACTTTTTTTATGCAAAAAAGCATAAAAAGTCAAGAACCAGCTGAAGTCGTCTGGTGTTCAGAAAGCAGTCTCGCTTCTTATCAACGCCCGTCGGTATCAGCTGGTTTAGTCTCAACTGATGGCCTCTAAAAAGGCATCATTGTTGTTAAACACTGACTGCACTGGTTAGTGGCATATTAATGAATATTACAGTGTATTGGTACCATAACCCTGAAGCTGCAGGAAAATTATTTAAGTTCAACCAAGTGCTCCTTGTAAGATTTCTGACAGACTCCAAAGCGTAAGTGATGAGTTTATATTTTTGACTTGGCGTTGTTTCTTTGTTTTGTTTTTTTATATAACGAGCAATGCACTCAATCCCAATGGCTTCAACTCTTGTTCACTGCACAAGACTCCACGGCTGAAGAAAAAGTTATGTTTGAAGATTGTGGCTAAACTTAAGGAGAAAAAAAACTATGAAATACTTGGACAATATAGTCAGATCAGAGATTTAAACATACAATAAACAACCTAACGACTGCAGTGCATATAAGAGAAACCCATAACTTTTAAGATTTGTGTGACAGGGTGAGTGGAAAATCCCACCCAAGCACTGAATATGACCCGCTTTTACATACAGAAGATGTGGAGAAGGTGTCACAACGCGTGACAATTTCTTATCACACATTGGATGGAGGATTGGATACTCTGCTTTTATGTGTCACTTCTCTTATGAAACATAGCTTCATTTGTAGATTTCATCTTATTATTTGTATTTGATGATTGCTTTGGTTGTTATGAGCATCCATAAAATTTCAATGGGCCTCATTACTCAGTACAGTTACAAACACTGTGATGCTGTGTGATGCTTATTTTGCTAACATCATTATACGTCGTTAAACTTGTGCATGCATAGAGTGTCACCTGTTGGCCGGTTTGGGTTAGAGAGTACACCTGTTGGGATGCAGGCTGGTACACTGAGGTAGGACACTGATACCCTGGGGAAGGCAGTCCATTCATGGAGAAAGGGGACATCTGTGAATCAAATGCAGGCGCATTTTTAATCCAACTATGCACCATAATTAATAACACGTCTCTCGTCAGGCTGTCATTACTCACACTTCCGCTGTGGGTGTTGATAATACTTATTCCCAGGGGGCTGTGCTGCATGGTACTCTGAAGGTGCAGCATGGAGCTCTGACTCACTGGTATCGTCATGCTGTTCAGTTGAGCTGCACAGAGCCAGAACACAAACATTTACAAAACTGTCTCCAAAGAGTGTGTCTGTGCATCCAGCTGCTGGTTCTCTGTGTAGTTAGACGCTGCCACATGGCTGTTTGCAAACTTCTGAAACGGTCGCACAGATAAAACAAAGTCTTCCAAGAACCAACGCACTTATAGACATTTTTAAAAAAATATGGTTTAAGAGAAATTTGGCTCTGTTGATTTTGAGTTTTCAATCATTAAAACATAATAATAGACAGAATAAGTGAACAAAAATGAACAAAAAAAAAGCTCCTGTGAAACGCAAAACTCTGACCTTAAAGTCCATTGTTGCTGCTTTATTGTCGGGTATTTGTATCTCATCAAATCTATTTTACACACTTAATCGAGCTTGAAAGAACACCAAGTTCTGACTTGTCCAAGGAACCAATAAATACAAAATAGCAAGAGGTTAAAAAGCAACTTTTGTTTAAACAGATAAAAATCTTAAAAGCACTCTTGATCCTTTCTCTTTGAATACTTCAAAGTTTATTTTTGGACATTGTTTTCCTTTTTCCTTTTACCATTTTATATTCACCATTTTCAGAGAAACGTTTCTTTTTATTAGTAGTAAATCTAACAAAATTATGTTATTGCATACAATTGTAACATTGTAATTGAAAATTCTATGTAATTTATGAGTCTTACTTAATGAGATGACTGGCAAGAAATACTGGACACAATATTATATTTTTTTTTAGATGTATTGGTATTTAGTTTAGCGTAAAAACCTGATTTACTTGCAGGATATGAGCTATTTCTTGAAAGCAACTTGTACATGTCAATCAGTCACAAAGACAATTGTGTTTTCAGTGGTATAGTTAAATATTTAACCAAAATACAAGAATAACACTGTTTAACTCCTGAACTAGTATTGTAATATTGAAAATATGCTTCTCACATTTTGGAATGGATCTGTAAGGTCCAGTGCCAGGTCTATGATGGATTTTTTTTTTCTTAATTTTTTAAAAAAATATTACCTTTTAGACCCTGTTCTCTAGGTTCAGATAGTTTGATTTTCAGTGTCACTTCTTTGGTCCTCAGTTGTTATTGTTTCACATGCTTTACTGATGACCTGTCCAATATGCTTAATCTTCAGGTGAAGAACGACTTGGCAGAAAGAGCGTAAGAGGCAGGCATTGTCCAAGAAAGAAGAAAACTAAAAGAATACTTTGGAAGCTGGCTTTTGATCAAAAATACAGCAATTTAAACTATTAAAAGAAAGTTAAAGTCCATAGAAGGAAACTATGCAAAAGTATTAATTTTAATGTAAATCTATTCAAAAATAATTAACTTTTATGGTGCAGAGTAATGCCTTGCAGCAAGAAGGTTCTGGGTTCGATTCCTGGCCCCGGTCTTTCTGCATGGAGTTTGCATGTTCTCCCTGTTCATGCATGGGTTTTCTCCGGATACTCCGGTTTCCTCCCACAGTCCAAAAACATGACTGTCAGGTTAAGTGGCCTCTCCAAAATTCCCCCTAGGTGTGAGTGTGTGTGCATGGTTGTGTGTCTCTGTGTTGCCCTGCGACAGACTGGCGACCTGTCCAGGATGACCCCCGCCTCCCGCTGGGGACGTTAGCTGGAGATAGGCACCAGCACCCCTCCTGACCCCACTAAGGGACAAGGGTGTAAAGAGGATGGATGGATGGATGGATGGATGGATGGATGGATGGATGGATGGATGGATGGATGGATGGATGGATGGATGGATGGATGGATGGATGGA